ATCTGCCCATAATAAATAAATTCATTCATTCATACTGATGTAGCCATTACTCCTGAAGGGGACAGATTTTCGTCTGGTGCCTCAGCTGTGAGCCTTCCACCTTGGGTGACCATGTAGGAGTCCTGAGTTGTAATGGAATCTACCCTCCTTGATGGCCTTGCTCTCAGTTTCTCTGACACACTCAAACCCGCTCACCATATTAAGGTAATCATCCAAGAACTCAGTATGCAACTGATAATGTCTGTGGTTCTTGAACCATTTGCTTCCAAAAATTAAAAAATTAAGCCATGTCTGCTTAAAATGCAGCAACTGCAGCATTTCATTCAGGATATTCAGGATTAAAATCTGAGACCCAGGCAGACCTTTGTGACGCTACAGAGATAAGACATGCAGTGGTGTCGGACTAACAGGACTGCTTCCGGCCCAACTAATTATGGAAAATAAAGGAGAATGTGGGCAAAAGGGTTCGGAATCCAGGCAAAACCTTGCTAGTACATAAGATGGCAACCCAGATTTGAGGTTTATGTATAGTTTTCTGACAGACAGAAGAAGAAAATGAAGCCAGCAACTGCAAGAAGGTCTGCATTCCATGCAATCTTTCCTCTAAGCTTGCCGGGAACAGGGGACGTTTTCCAGGGTCTACAATTTTGCTGAGGCTTGTGGGAGACTTATCACCAGCCCATGGGGAGTGTTTCCTCTGACCCTTCGCCTGAGTTCCCAAGCCATGATACCCAGGCTCCACCCCCCCACCTTGTTGAACATGGCATGAGGGACACAAAGGCATCCAGTCTACTGGCATTCTCTCCAGACTCCTCCTGTCACTCTTGGCTTCTTCTTATGCCAACCTTGGGCTGGCACAACACACATGCAAATTCTTCTGCACTGAGCCAGTGAGCCCTGGCATCACCTGGGCATGAATGAAGATAGATGCTTTAAAACCACTTCACACACACACACAAATCAAACTTTCTTCACCATCGGTGCTACCTGCCCTGAAATGGTCTCCATGCCTAGAGATCTAATGAGCCATAGCAATTCCCT